CGATGGGATATCAACCTTCATTACACTTGCATGATATGACAATTTATAACACTTGTGTTTCGCACAACTTACGCTGGATCCAAACTTTGTTGCTATATCTTCAGTAGTGAGTATCTTACTGCTTTTCTTTTCATTCAGTGTTTGCAGGTAAGCTACCATTGTACAGTATGGTCTTGTGCTGCCTCCGCGAATTCATACTTATTTACCTACCTCAGAAGCATTGCAAATCAGTGACTTTACTGATACTGGAAGCCATCCACTGTTGACCGAGTTACCTGGATCCTATGATTGAAGTCTGCGAACAGAAGTATTGAGATGATTCATAGACGGACATCCGTCGTTTTCCCTTCGAGCTACGGAAAAGCCTTGCCCAGCATGAATTGGACAAAAGAAGCAAGTGAGTAACATTTAAAAGCGGCACGAGTTTTTGGTAAGCTAAGCGGAAATCGGATTAGTTAAACGAAACAAGGCAGTATCCAATAACTATTGCCATTTTGGTCATCAGAACACTGTAACGCCTGAAGCACAGATTCGTAATTACTGGTGTTCAGTAGAGTCCTATAGATCAAAAAAATTTTACTCACAAAATACAGAACATTCATATACAAAGGTACAGAAGGACCGAATGAAACAAAGCAAAAGTGGCAATAACATCGAGCTGAAAGTACGGGACAAAGTTCAGGGCTGAAGAGTACAGCTGCGAATGCTTCATCTGGCTGAAAACTACTGTTTTGGAAACTGCGTACAGCGCTGTATCGATCTGCGTTACGAGCCGATCTCTGATATATGCTTTCAGTTTCTTCGCCCTGGTTTGGATTCTACAACGTTAAAAAGTTCATTGTCGAAATGCTATGCGAGATTAGTTTCATGGCCTCACCTAATCTCATCAGTGTCTTTGCATAGCACGCAATCATTTAATTTATTTCAATTTAATTCATTCAGCTTTTCAAATTTATATACAGAGCTTGGATCATGTGCCTGAAAGGCGTTCGTAAACTATAGACTACGCTACACAGCATAGGAAGATACATGTTCTGAATAGCAGAAAAACATCAAAAGTCAAATGAATGGGTGAGGGCACACAAAAAAGCGAATTCGATGTTATTGCCCGAGTGAAGCAGTTGGAATGACCATGGTCAGAACATGTGGCAGAACATACGGTGTTGCAAGGAAAGCGGACCGTCTTTCGACCAGTCAGATATTACACTGCGTTGCATGAATCACTAAACACTTCAGAGGAAAACCTTCAAATCTATGGAAGGATGAGCTGTAGAATTTCGTTAGATCGAGACGAATAGGTATCGCAAAGAAAATATAAGTTTATGGGAAAGTCTCTGAGAGACATTCTTTCAGCAGTGCATCGAAGAAGGGTACGGTTGATGATACAATGTCATAAGATGGAATGTAATAACTGCACAATAATACCGCATTGATATCCAAGACTGACAGAATTCCTCATGCTATGCATAGTAGTTTTATCGAGAAAGAATGTGAAACGTTTATTTCTTGAAAACGCTTTCCGTAGGACAAGCAACTGATAACTTAAAAAGATTATTAATTATTTTAGCCTCAAATTTCATACGATGGTCAATTTTAATGCCGGAAAATGAGAGGGAAAAATCGATACGAATCGGGATGGCCGGTGTCATTCCCCATGAACTATCCTGAACCGTTGTGACTAAAATGAGGCTCAGTCCGGAGACGAGACTGTCTCTAACCCAGTCGATTTTCATCCAATGTTCACCTATGGTCATGAGTCATTAGCCGTTACTGCAAAAATGTGATTCCGGACACATATCGATGAAATAAGTTTTCTGAGACGAATCCTAGACTCGCGGTTGTCAACATGGTCCAGGAAACAGATGTCTAAGAATGCCTCTATGTAAATTGTAGGGTGTACAGAAAGCTTCTCTAGATTGAAAATTCACAGCTGCGATGGCTTGGGCACGTCTTGCAAATGCTCCTAGAAAGGAAGGTGAAACAACTACTAATTGCTCAATCGACCGAAGAAAGACCCAAGGAAGGGCCAACAATGACAGGCGGCAGATGTGTCGAAGGACTTCCTTCCAGACTCAGGTTGTCTTCTGTCGAACTTCAAACGCTGAGACTGGATCAGGAAGGTTGGAGACATTATCTGATACTGCTGCCCCTGCGACCCGAAAGGAAAAGCGGTCACTGAACCTGTCTGACTATATGTACTGATTAAAGCTGTATAATGGGATTTAAATAAAATTAGATTTTGTCTAATAAAAAATATTCACTTTGCGTGGTATTGTGAAGCGTTGCAAAGTTGCTACGCAATTTCACGGCTCCGTAGGTATGACGTTTAAATATGAAGGACATATGCTTTAAGCCAGTTCTGTTAGAAGAAGAGTTGCAAATGAATATATATGTTTTTAAGAAATATCACTGAGGGTATTGGAGCACAGATGATTGTCAGTTTCTGACAGAAAGTACTATTCGCAACGTTGGTTATTCGACACGCTCAACCATTACGAGTTTGCATCATACAACGTACTCATATATGATTTGCTTCTAAGGACGCTTTGTCTACAAGCCTCAATGGTAGGATTGGAATGTACCGCGTCTGATGAACGAAACTTTAGATGCAGAGGTTCGACATCTGTGTCACGTGTTTCTGATGAAAGGGTATTCGATGAAATACTTGCAGTGAACTCCACTCGCCCCAATTTCAAGCAACTGCCTCAAAGTAGACCGTGTCTGACACTGCTATAAATATCAGAGGTGTCTCGACAACATAGAACTTACAATCTTTCACAAGACTATCCCCTTGGATAGCTTCTGTTTAGCGTCCTGCCTTGTTTCTGTCCGGTCAGTGTTGCAGTACAGCATGGAGACAGTTTTATAACGAAAGAGCAAAAGGACGATTAAACCGTACACGACGGCGTTGATTTCGACGGTAATGAAGGTTAAATAGCAAGACCATGGGAGAATTGATTGTACTTTATTCCGGATACAGACGACCTCAGTAGATGCCAAGATTAAGAAAATAAATTTGGACCTGCTAGAAAAACTGATTGAGCATAATTCATTTACTGCAGCCTGTGAGCTTCTCGTTTGGGAACTGAGATACGGCGACATCGATAAGGAGAGCAGCATGCAACATGGGGGAACAAGGTAAAGGTAGATCTGCCTTCGGAGAGGAATGTTGCTTTCGGAGATGTCGTAACCGAGGCCTAATAGTAAAAGTGTTTGAAAGCTGCGGATACAGCGGAGACCACAAATCTGAGACGTTCTGCTTATGTGGACAGCTCAAAGTGATGATCTTGACAAACAACAACAACCTGTTCAAAAAACATTTCTTCATAATCCAGCAAATTTAATTGATGCCGTTTATAGAATCGAATTCGATGAATACGATAAGGAATCTTTTTGGAAGATGTGCAGGAAACTGAAAATTCTGATGAAAGAGCAATTATCTACAGTCTGCCTCGGTCAGGATGACAGCACTGGCATTTATAGCCAAACAGTTACTGATGAACACTCTTTCAGTGAGGCTGAGTATCTGAAAGCAACTCAAAGACCACTCAAAATTGGGGTTCTAGTAAAGGTGTCCGCTTGTATCATGACAAAGAAATATCGTTTTCACATTTGCGATGCTGTTGTTGTAAGCCCGAGTGGACAGACGCTACAGGTGGCACAGATTATTCAAATTTTTATCGTTTATATTGCTCATGTGCCGTTTGATGTCGGCCATGACAGTTATTGTTGTATGATGCAACGGGTTTGTGGCGAAACGTAGTGGCAGCAAAATGCTGGTTTGCTAAAATCAAAATATGTGCCTCTTACGTTCGATTGTTCACGACACTATGGATGGCAGTGAATATTTCTTCGCCAGATGCCGATTCGATGTCGATGCTGATTCCGATGCCCATGTCGGTCACTCGCCTCGCATTTCGAAACTGGTCACCAATTAGAGGAATCACGACGATGGGCACACCGGCGTACGTAGCTTCAGTAAAGCTGTTGTAACCGCCATGGCTTATGAAAGCCTTTACTTTTGGGTGAGCTAAAATACTGAACATTAATGCGAGTACTGCTTAATAGATTAGTAAACCATGTTAATTAAAAATTTAATTACTTTATGCAAGTGAACTCTGAGCGGATACTTTCGAACTAAAGCAATGCTTTTCAGTTCAGAATTTTGGCATTACTGGAAGAGCCGGCGCGATGCAGCAACATGTCTATTTCCCTCAGAGCTCCTAATTTCGTCGCAAAATATGAAACGTGAATTTGCTTTGGTTAAATCGCCGATTTACACATACGAGTATCAGACGAAGACCGTCGTGACAAAACCCAATTCGTCGTCACGTTTTGCTCTCACATGACATTATCGTTCAAATCTTGTCCCATCGGTCCCATCTACGTTTTGCTTTCCTTCTGCTATTAATACAGAAACTATCCACCGTTCATCACATGACTGTTCAACACTTCTGAGAAAGTTTCAGCCTAACGAATTCAAATCGGAACCTATATAGTTCAGGTTACACTTCACGTGCCTGTTTGAGAGAAGCTATTGCAACTTGGTTTCTAAGGATCATCAGAGAAGCGCAGCAAATTGGAGCAAAGCTAGATTTGCTAACGAGATAAATCGTGATACAAACCTAATAATTCTTTTTGAGGTATCCATTTTTTCACAAAAATATTCGGCACTTTTTCGGCAGGTTTGAACTCGCCATCAAGTCTCCAGATCACTCGTTGCTGAAGGCGTTTGAACGCATCCAAAAATTTCATCTAAATATGAAGAACTTTGGAATTCTTGACCATTCCATGCGAAAGGTAACTGTCTTCTTCCTTTATCGATCTGGGAATAAATTAGTCGAATCCTACAAATAAACTGCGTATATATCACTCAGTGAGACTCAGGAGGTTCAGAAGTCACTTATTCTACTTTCACCATCGAAGACATGCAAGCAGATAACTAAATTATAAATTTAGTCATCAAAACATTTGTCCTCGAACTAAGTTGATCTTCAGAATTTCTGAAAAGGAATAAAATGCAGAGTAGCTGCCCTGGAATGGCATAGACTTTCTGTCGAAGAGCTGATCGTTCCTAAACAACCCTACGCTTCGCCCGAAGTCTCAAAACGAAAGTACAGGAAACGGATACTCTGTGAGGAACGTGCTTCCAGTTTAATAATACCTGGCATCTTCTAGCTGAAACTGAATGACGGCTTTTGCAGCAGTCGCTTGGGGGGTTTAATTTCAAGTCACTGTTTATTCAAAAGATCGAGTGAATGACATAACATCAAGCTCTTTTCAGGGTGAGTGTCTTCAATCGTTTCCCGATTTTGTAGCCTGTATTTTTCACAACAGATTATCGTTGCATGCCATTGAGGAGATCAAAACGTTTCCGTTTTGCCTATCCTGAAACTTGGGAAACCCTCTTGATGGTACTACTCATTTATTCATCATAGAATTTGACAAATCTTTTTTGTCCTAGACACATATCATCTCTGCGATAACCACCTTCGATATAATCAAAATCATAATCATAATTGTCGTCATGAACTTGACCATTATCTTTGTCATCATTATCGTATTTGTATTGTTCCTGCTGCTATTGTCGATTGGTTTTAAACAATCTTCCAGAGTTATAGTTAATTACTTTAACGATATTATATCACTATATCATAGCTTTATTTCATTTTCAATTTTTTCCTTCCCTGAAAATTCTATACTTGTCTTTGAATCTTTTTCAAATCATGGCGATGACATTTTGTTATGTTTCCTCAAATCCGCGGCGTTTTCAGAGCATCTAATGCACGTGATGTTGAAGCAAATTCCAAAATCTTCTCGAGGTCGACAGTTCCCAACGAGAAGGGAAGACGATATACGTTTCTTGTCTGAATCATGCGCTGCAACGCTCTAAGACACATATACTACTAAGCATACTGTTACCTGATTCGCAAGAGTCCAGATTCTTCTTGAATTCTGCTTGTCAGTACTCCTTGAAGATCTCGCAGTTGATTGGCTAATTCTGATCAACTGATCACTCTCTAGTTTTTCAGATCTTTTTTACCTCTTTTCCCAGTGCAGCAAAATGAGTGACTCGGTGGTCGACCTTTCTAGAATTTTCATTTCCTAAGCGCAGCGTGTAAATGAACGATTCATTCCTTCGCCATTAATTCGGCTTCAAGCTCTGTTGTATTCCGCGCTAATGCTGTCCTCGCCAGGAGCCTTTCATCTACTTTACTGCAGGTTGCATTTACTCTGAGAAGACATTTGGAATTTTGAGCATTTAGTTCACGTTTTCAGTTTCCTTCCCTCCTTTTCATGCTTAAAAGTTTTCATATTTGCACAATTTTCGGTTATCTTCCTTTTTGCTCAGGATCCAGACCTATTTCTGCATATACTGAGTTCAGAATTCGCACGTACATAAATTTCGAATATATGCCAAGTGCAATTCATGGACTGATGAATGCGAAAGTTTTTCTCTGCTGGTAACTCAGGGGCCGATCAGACAATATATCTGTAGTAAGTGTGATATTCACAAGCATATAATAACCATCTGAATTACCGGGACCGACCGGCATTCGGCAACAAATCGCGTCGACCGTACACTTGGAGCTTCATAGAGCATGAAACTTTGTCACCCACTGAAAGAGCTGAAAGTGGCCTGGGAAATTTCGCATAGACGGGGTCCTCGATTCCGTCTCGTTTCATATCGAAATTGTCTCTTCTATCCCTCGCTGATGTCCTGCCACAAGGATCCGGGTCCGGGTTAGATTGGTGGTCTGTTTTCTTCAAAAAGGGTCGCTTTCCCCTCGTTATGAGACTTTTATTATTCATTCAAACTTTGACCCAGGGACAAACTTGTCGAACTCAAACCGCAGTGATTCCCTGGCCTTCTCATCGCTGTCTTTCTGCAGCAGCTAACCGTCATATAAGAAGGCCGTTCCCATATTCGCAACCCAAGGACTCGCCAGATGGCTACAGGTTAACCGCAATGGTTATAACAATAGCATGGTTTAATACAAACCTGAGATAAATGAGTTAGAACTTATTTAAACCTTTAAGTTAAATTTAAGTTAAATTAACGTATGCGAAATATACACCTGAATTTATGAACCGATGACTACCACTTCACTCTCAAAGGAAGCAGGATAAATTGTCGCGTCAATCATCTTTCGGAAAGCAAACGGGGTTTGGACTGAAAATGACCTTCGACTTATGGAACCTAGTTGTTCGATAACTCGTTTAGGAGGGCATTGCTTTATCGGAAATTGCACGTTTGATTTTCATGTTAAAGCGCTGCGAAAAGGGATAAATCCGGCTCTCAATGGGCCAAATTTCTGAAGTACAGTGAACGAGCGCGTGTACAGACAACCTCTTCGAACCGGTCAGGAAGAGAATATAATAACTAAGCCGTTGTCTATGACAACGTACATAAATCTGTGTGTCTACAGGGAAGGCCGGGTAGCGCCGTAAAATGCGTACGAGACTGGCTTTCGGTCACCCTTTTATGGCAGCTAATCTTTGAGAATGAAGTGAAGGTCCTTCGATCACTCCAACTCACGTAACACAGCACTCAATCGATTATAGTCAGGTATATTATTGTGTCACACCAGAAAGATTCGTCTAAAAATGAATATACTCCGTACTTCACGTTCATGTAATAACTCTTGATAGCTTTCACCTTATGAACATCAAAAATCAATCACAAAATGCATCGCACTTTGATTTAGGTTGGCGAAGGGAAAATAGTTAGCAAAAGAAGTTGAAGCTATGGTATGTGAACTATAGGTTAAGGGCAAGCAACTTGGTCTTCGGATGAACAGGGTGACGACGATGACGAGAAACGGATTTGCACAGTAAGCTACAGCTATCATTAGTGAGTACTAAACAGAAAATGTCACCCAGTACGTCTAAATGGGACAGCTAATGTCATTAGACAGCTCGTTTCGTTCAGAGCAAATACACACAGAAGAAATTCGGACATTCTAGCAAACAAAATATTATCAGTTTCGGTTAAAACTACGCTGTATGAAAGCACTATGTTGTCATACAGTTTCTCTGGTGTCCAAATCTGATAATTAATGGAAGAAAATTAGGAAGTGTTAAGAGTGCGGAATGATGAAATGAGAAGACACATGAAGCACGTTGTATCGGTTTCAAAAGGTGACCAAAGCGACATTGGGCAGGTTATTCCGCCTGACTGATTGACGACAACTGGATTTAAAAAATGACGCATTGGTATCCAAGATTCTGGAAGACTTCGATTCAAATGGGACGATGAGCTGAAAGATAGCGAAGAAAGCTTGTGGGGAGGGGGGGGGCAAATCGCGTGACATCGAAACAATTGCAAAACGATACTCGCTAATTACGAAGAAGGATCGGGGAAGAATATCACGAATATCGTACCTTCAAGCTTTCTGGCATGTATGCAGTATTGACTACCGTACCGAAGGCAAAAATAACCACTCCATGTTCTCCCGAGCCATCGATAATGTCCAACCATTCCTAAGTAGCAAATCTGTAGTTTTAGCCTAAGTGATGATTGCTTAAAAACTTGTAACAAACCTTAGTCAAGTTTTCGGCGTTCATCATAGTATGCCCGCCTATCATGGCAATTTTGGGTGTCAAGGGTCTTGGCAATTCAATGGCTACGTCAGCGGTGACAAAAATAAACTTTACCCGTCTAAGGACTTGAACCAAATTCTGGGAGTTCGGATTATAATGGAGATGAACCGTTAAATAGGGTCGGATGAAGGTCCAGTAAAATAAGGCATTTACCACCGGCGTTATAACAGAGTTTTTTATTCTGTGGTGGAACAGATTGTGGTCGAAATTAGCGTTTCGACAACTGGCGACATAACTAGTGGGAGTGGGCGTCTGTGAGTACCACGCGATTGGATCAATCAAAAATCCGGTACTCATCCATATTCTGTGTCTGATGCCCAGGTGTTCGACGATTCCCATCCAACACATGTCAATCATGTGAACAACGGCTACATCGGCCTTCAGCTGACGAACTCGAGAAACGATATTACTGGTGTCGTCACGGAGCAGCGTCGCACAGTCGGAAGCCAATGTATCGAACGTTCGTTTCATAGTCAGCAAGATTTTGATCGCACTGCTTCCCGAGTCACTCGACGGAAACCTGTTCATCAT